TAACTGTTTAAAACTATCAAACAATACAAATCGGACACAATCGTTTTAATACCACATTTCTCAAATGTTTAAAATGCTGCAGCAGTCTCCACACTGATTACACAAGGACCAATAGCGCCCCTGCTGGAGACTGGGTTGGCCCTGATTGCAGCCCATTTTGTGCAGTTTTTTTTCCCTCTAAAGCAAAATCACATGATACGTATTTTTGTCATATGACACTGATGAGAGACCTGATCCCACTGAGAGAGAGCGACTTCCACATTAAAAACAACGGCAGCTCGACCACTTGTCAGGGATGCGATGCTGTAGACGGACACTGGTCGGGGGTCGCAGTCGATAATATCCGGAGGATGATGGAGTGTCGGGGACTTCTGCCTCTTATAGCCGCCGCTTGTTTCATAGGTGAGATCTATAACTCTTCTATCAGCGAGCAACATAACTGGTGTGACCCTGAATAACACCAGGAAGGATTTTAACAAACCAACTAGAACCACTCTTCCTACTGGAGTTGTCTATAATTTATAGTATTTAAACAAAGTTAAAAAAAACACTATAAATGCAACAACATTTTTGTATATACGTTTGTATAAATGTTTCCATAGAAATTAAGTCCATGAGTTGCTTTTCTTGAAGGTTTTTTTTCACAAGTTTTTATCACACAATCCTCCAACCTCAAATCAAACTTTCTTCTTATGGACAATGTCTATATACAATTAATGTGCTGACTTACTGGGTTTCTACTGCACTACATTAGTCCGTCTGCCCTCTCTCTCCATCCAAATGTTGTGATTTAGGATCAATAGCAGGGTTACTTTCTTTTCTTTTTTTTCTGCCACTTCAACGGTTTGATAGAGAAATGTTGCCAAACCAGAGGACACTGAACCGGAGCAATCACATGACACCCTGAGTAATTGCATTTCATGAGTAGGATGGCTCCTATTCAAGAAAGCACTTAAGTACACGGCTAATGTGATTACTACCACAATATAAGCTCTGTTCCACTGATGTGCTTATACCTGTTGCTCTCACTTTCTCGCTGCATGGTGAATGACGTGCCTTAGATTTTCTGGAGTGATTTTACAATACCACAATGATACAGCTACGCAGGGAAGGGGTGGAATAGCTGGATTAGGCAAACGCTCTAACCCTAAACCTGACCCACCCACCTGCAAAGATTTTCTTTCCTTGGTTACATGTCCGTTTCTTTGCCTGGATTCATGTTCAGCACATGTCTGAGAAGAAAGTATGTTATGTTATGTGGATCTTCTGATATCGACTGTTTACTCAAGATCGCAGCTGTAAATATCTGAAAAAATAAACATGAAGTATTCCTCTCCTCCAGGACTGGTGGGAAGCCAAACCACACTTACCCCTGCTGTGGTCAGCACCACTCTCATCGAGAATGTGACCAGTCTGACTATTACTCCCGTGATTCTCAGCAGCACGACCCCAGGCTGCTCTGCGTTCAACACTTCAACCTGTGAGCCTTGTGCTCCGGGATCACAATACGACAATAGTGAGTCAACGACTGCGTCATCTGACTGTAGACCACATTCTTAGACCTTTTTTTAATGTGCTATGGTGGATTATAAAAACAATTTATGTAACTTTTTCGGATCATAACTCATTCTTATTCATTAGATACATGTTTTGACTGTCCTTCGTGAAAAGATAAAAAAGATTTCTTACTTTCTTAAAGTCAAAGTTAAGAAATCATTTTCTATCCCTCTATAGACACCCTGCTGTGTGCATGCTGTTCTGACCCCGGGTTGTGTCTATTTCCTGGAGCCTGCCTGGCATGCGCCAGAGGTTTCTATCAGTCCCTTGCAGGACAGCAGCAGTGTCTGCCCTGCAGCCAGGGCTCCTACACAAAGTAAGGCCACAGATTATGCCACTGAACTCAACATGCTCTTCTGCTTCTATTTAAGTGTCTTCTTCACTTGTCAATTTATTTTATGTTCTACACCAACTACACAGTTTCACTGGAAGTCCATTATGTCACCCCTGCCCTGCTGGATCCTTCAACAACAATAGTGGTGCAGACAGCTGCACAAGTTGTTCACCAGGTATGTTTATTCAGCTTTAGACCAAAACTCAAAGTCATGTTGTAATAACTTTATAGATCACAAAACTGCAGTTTGCATGTTGTCAGAAACTAGACTTGTTGCAAAACAATTATCAAGGAATTTTAGCCAGAAAATGAATAATTTAGACTGAGTTTCATATAATCAAAAACTCGAATCACATGTTTTGAGTTATTTTGTGTCTGCTGCTTTCAGGTTTCTTTTCATCACAACTAAGTTCCACTATGTGCGCACCATGTTCAAGAGGAAGTTTTTGCAAGTAAGTTACACTTGAATGTCACTGGGTTTCAGTTTCTTTTTCTCTTCCTGTTTATGACCAGTATCACTAACAACCCGGATCAAACATCACATGTTTCCATTCCATGGCTCTGTTTGCCAGCATAGAAACATCTACAGTCACTCACTCACTCACACACACACAC